ATACCTAGACTTTAGTAAGGCGTTTGATACAGTCTCGCATGATACTTATCAATAAACTAGGCAAATACAACTTAGATGGGGCTACTATAAGGTGGGTGCATAACTGGCTGGATAACCGTACTCAGAGAGGAGTTATTAATGGTTCACAATCCTGCTGGAAAGGCATAACAAGCGGGGTTCCGCAGGGGTCTGTTTTGGGACCGGCTCTGTTCAATATCTTCATCAATGATTTAGATATTGGTATAGATAGTACGTTTATTAAGTTTGCAGATGATACCAAGCTGGGAGGGATTGCAACTAATCTGGAGGATAGGGTCATAATTCAAAATGACCTGGACAAATTGGAGAAATGATCTGAGATAAATAGGATGAAGTTTAATAAAGACAAATGCAAAGTGCTCCACTTAGGAAGGAACAATCAATTTCACACATACAGAATGGGAAGCGACGGTCTGGGAAGGAGTATGGCAGAAAGGGATCCAGGGGTTATAGTGGACCACAAGCTGAATATGAGTCAGCAGTGTCATGCTGTTGCAAAGAAAGCAAACATGATTCTGGGATGTATTAACAGGTGTGTTGTGAGCAAGACATGAGAAGTCATTCTTCCGCTCTACAATGCGCTGGTTAGGGCTCAATTGGAGTATTGTGTCCAGTTCTGGGCATCACATTTCAAGAAAGATGTGAAAAAATTGATGAGGGTCCAGAGAAGAGCAATGAGAATGATTAAAGGTCTAGAGAACATGACCTATGAAGGAAGGCTGAAGGAATTGGGTTTGTTTAGTTTAGAAAAGAGAAGATTGAGGGGGGATGATAGCAGTTTTCAGGTATCTAAAAGGGTGTCATAAGGAGGAGGGAGAAAACTTGTTCATCTTGGCCTCTGGGGATAGAACAAGAAGCAATGGGCTTAAGCTGCAGCAAGGGAGGTTTAGGTTGGACATTAGGAAAAAGTTCCTAACTGTCAAGGTGGTCAAACACTGGAATAAATTGCCCAGGGAGGTTGTAGAAGCCCCATCTCTGGAGATATTTAAGAGTAGGTTAGATAAATGTCTGTCAGGGATGGGCTAGACAGTATTTGGTCCTGCCATGAGGGCAGGGGACTTGACTCGATGACCTCTCGAGGTCCCTTCCAGTCCTAGTATTCTATGATTAATTCCATTGTGATTGCACTTATACTGAGCTAGGGAAGAGGGGGTAGGGTTGGGGGGGAGACTCTAGGGCATCAGTTTACAAACCAACTTGAAGAAATGATCTTGAGTCTGACAGCAAATCTGACCTGAAGGCACTCTTATATAAAAGTAAGTATGTAATAAGCACTTTTTGACAAGATAGTGATCTCAATTTGTAGGTTACTTATCTCATGTCTCCAGTGTGTCCAGGAAGGCTGTGTCTAGACTGCAGCATTTTTTCGAAAAAAGTAGCCTTTTTTCGAAAAAACTTCACCTGCGTCTAGACTACAGCCGTGTTCTTTCGAAATTAAATCGAAAGAACACGGCTTTTCTTTCAACAGCTGTAGTCCTCATTTCATGAGGAATAACGCCTTTCTTCGAAAGTGCTCTTTCGAAAAAAGGTGCTATGTAATGCAAACTGTGCTTTTTCAAAAGAGAGCATCCAGACTGCCTGGGTGCTCTCTTCCGAAAAAGCAATTTGCTTTTTCGAAAGTACTGATTGTAGTCTAGATGCTCTTTTTCAAAAGAAGCTTTTTCGAAAGTATCTTTCGAAAAAGCCTCTTTCGAAAGAGGCTTGCAGTCTAGACATAGCCTAAGAGAGAGCCACTTGACTACACCCACAGATAGATGCATACTATCTGCACATTATTGTTCTCAAGACACACATTCAGAACAATTCAAAGAGCTTTTCTGAAACCAGACAGTTTCAAAATGGGGTCTCCAGTTTTGTACATGCAATTTTCCACCAACATGAATGTATATATATTTGCAGATATATTATGAACTACTAACAACATTCCTTATTGGAAAGTTATGTGCAGTTTAGTATGAATGATAACTTTTCTCTATATTTATAAACCACAGATCTATAGGTTACTTAAACTGCAGAATTTATTCCCCATCTATAGAATTTTATAGGATGGTTAACAAACTTCTGATAAATTCTATAGGTTCATAAAGTAATTGGAATGTTGATTTAATCCCTATTTTATAGAACTTTTCCACATGGATGAGAAGGAAATTCAACCATTTGCATGTGCAAAATAGGGTGCACAGAATGGTATATGCAAATCATACTGCTCACAGACCTGTATGTTGGAGTCTGGCCTAATATTTCCTTGAAAATTTGAACTTGTATAAAAAGAATCACCCTAGGCACCTCCAGGCTTGAAGTTTACAGTTATTCTGTACAATCAACCCAATTCAATAGTGTTTTTATGGAAGGAATGTCAAGAATTATGAACACTACTGAAATTAAAGGGTAAATTTAGGTAAGGAAAATATAATAATCTGAGTTGGAATTTGGCCAGGATTTGAAAGGAACTGAAGAGAATGGTTTCTTTCAATTGCTGGTTTAAGCTGTTTTATTCTGCAAAGGTTTCATATTCCATAATGGTCTTTTGCAGTAAATTATTAAACATTTTAAAGTAGCAGACTATGGAAACAACAAAAGATGTACTAAGGTCTTTGTACTGCAAGCTGCATGTTGTACTAAAACTGGTCATACAGATATGATTTCTTCTAACCTTAAAAGGTGGGAAACTGAGCACTGACTGCCAGGAACAGTTGTTAAACTCAAACTCAAATGAAATACCTGTTTTTTACTAACAACAACAACAACAACAACTCTATCCCCATGTGCCACTTCCACAGTTGCAATCAGAAAATGTTCTTCAAGCTAACACATGGTTGGTCAGTAGCAGAAGGGTATTAATGTCACGTATTTCTGTAAAAGTTCCTAAAGTCTGGAACTCAAATCCAGAGACACTTTATTTGGTCCCACAGAACCCAAATTTGCTGCCCTTCATGGCATTCTGAAAAATTTCAGCTAGAAGCTGAGCCTGAAATACTTACACACTTAGCTTCACATGAGTGGTCCAACTGAAGTAATCTAAATTATTCTTATGATTACAAATACACTTTGTTGCTTCACCATGAGTGAATGCATTTATTTCAATGTATTTTTAAAACATCTTATGAAACTCTTCTTTGTACGAAATTAAGCATGTATGTAAAAGTTTGTAATATCAGGCCCAGACTTTTCCTGAAGTCATCAGTGGGGACAATGGGACAGTCTTGGGAGGAAGGGCAGCAGTCAGCTGCCTTACCCATAAAATCATTCTCTCTTCCTGCAGTTTCCAGTTTCATTCACTACACACCTTCTAACTTCTATACAAATAAAATAGGGGTACTTCAGACAATTGTCTTCTTCACCACACCGGCTCATCCCCAGAAGAAGGCCCTATCCTGTGCAATGGATGAACCAGGGATCCTGTGAAAAAAATTGTATGTGATCATGTAAAGACCATATCATAATGCCATAATGTGCACACACAATGGAAACAATTTAAAGTTACAGAGGCAACCTTAATGGGGCATTTCTTAACTTTAGAGCATTTGACTTTTAACATGGATATTTTTGTGTGTAATTTCCTTGGGGGTTTTTTGTTGTTGTTTTTTTAATCATACTGATCTGATCCACTCCCTACAATCCTGGCTTCCCTGGCCCACATTGCCTGTCCTCATTGGCTCCCAGTCTTCCTTCCTGTGTCCCTCAACCAATTTTAGTGCCTTCCCATTGGCTCCTTGTCCCAGTTTCCTTGCCCAGCCAATCCTAGTGTTTCACATTCCTCAGTTGGTCAGACTCTGTCTTTCTCCCCCATATCTTTCCCTCACCCCACTGATTTACAGTCGATCTCCCTTACTGACTCCCAGTCCAAACCTCATTTCCTCTCTGGCTCCCAGTCAGTGTTTCCTCTAATTTTTTCCATTTAGTTGCGGATTTTTTTCCATCCATGTGCAGAATAAATTATTTATGTGCACCAAGGCATGTGTAAATGTACATTACCAGTAAAAATGAAAAACCCAGCTGTGGCACTCTGCTAATCTGCTGTGCAGCATTTGACTCTCTCCTGAGAGGACACACAAGCGCACAGATTACAGGGAACGCTGGTCCCACTTTCCTTGCCAAGTGGAGTCCTAATCTCCTCCACACCCAGCTTCCAGTCCTAATTTTTTGCCCAACCAGTCCTAGTTTCCCATTTTCCCTCACTGCCAGTCCTACTCACCCAAACCCTGACTGCTTGTCAGTGTCTAATTTTCTCCCCCACACCTCAGGTTCAGCTCTTGCATTCATGTCAGGTAGCTTCCTCTTGCATGCTGCCTGTATGGACCCAACAGAGGGGATGTCAACAGCATAGGCATGCGCACAGGGTGTGCCGGGTATGCGTAGGCACACCCTAATGTCATGGGCCAGTTAGTGGCTACTGGAGGAGGAGAGGAATTTGTGACAGGGTGCCACAAACCTTCACTTTAAATTCCCCCCGGGCATCTATGGGGCACTGTGAGGCAGAGAGAGAGCATGCACGGCATGCTGAAACGCCGCGCAACAGGTGAGAGGGGAGATGCCCGGCCATGGCATGACGTCACGGCCCGGGACTTTCAAACTCTGCAGCCCAGCTCCACAAGCAACTGAGGCCCTGCTACAAATGCCGGCTGGCCTGAGCCATTTTTGCACTCCAGGCCCTGCAGCACCACCCCTAATGCACCCGAGGGCGCCCCTGAGGCACCCCCACCCCGGCCCAGCCCGGAAGCACTGCGTGGCCCCCCTGAGGTGCCCTGGGGGCTCTGTGCGCCCCCCCCCCTCTTGAGGCACCCCACCTCCCAGCCCAGCAGCACCACGCAGCACCCCAGGGCGCCCCAGCTAGGGCCTGGCCGGCCTGTAGCTTGGGCCAGCTCTGACTCCAGCCCCGCGAATTGGAAGGCAGAAGCTGAAGGTAAGGAAGGGAAGGGGGGGGGAATAAGAGGAAGGGGTGGGAGAGGAAGGGGATTGTGCTAAAGGGAGGGGGGGGTTAGGAGAAGAAAGGGGAAAGCGCTAAGGGGCACGGTAGAGGAGAGGTAAATGCCAGAGGACAATGAGGAAAAGGGCAGGAGGGGAAGTGTCAGTGGGGCGGGAGGGGGAGTTGCTGGGAGAAGGCTTGAAAGAAGGGGGGCATGAGGAAGGTCAGGATGGAGCAAATCGTGTGAGAGGGCACAGAGGGGCAGGAGGGGAATGGGGCAGAGAGTGGTGAAGGAGTGGGTATTAGGGAAAAAGAGGGCAAAGGGGGCAGGAATAGTGAGGGAAGGGGGAGGCACCAGGAGGATGCAGGGCTAAGGGAAAGTGCAGGTGCCACGGGATTCTGGGGGTGAAGCAGAAGGACAGACACCTGCAGGGGAGGGACCAGCACCAGAGGAGAGAAGCAGGGCAGGTGTGTAGAGGGGGATGAGGAGGATAAAAAACTAAAACACAATAAAACCACTTAGCTTGAGACAAACACATTTCAGCCCAAACAGTACAGCTGAAAACAGGAAAGTGTAGAGAAAGTTTAATATTAGGTGATATTAGACTGCCAGCCCCTCTTATAATACAGGTACTTATGTCCAGTGCCCATCTTAATCAGATTTAAGATGAGGGCAAAGAACTGCATGTAAAAAACAGATTTTATCATCTCTTTTCTCTCCTCTCCTCCCATCAGGTGGTTCCCACTATTCACCTATTCTCCCAGGAGATGTCTGCCACTCTCTTTCCATCTTCATTTGATTTAAAACAGAGAAACTCAGTTTACTGCTGCTCCTTTCAGACTATCATTTTGGGTGCCAGAGGAAAGGGGGAACCATATGGCCAGGTATACACTAAAGGGGAAAGTTGACTTAATTACATACCTGGCGTCAACATATCTTAATTTGTGTTTTTGCACCATTCACACAACGGGAGGTCGATGGGAGCAAATCAACAATTTTGATATTGGAATAGAGAGTATGATTATTAAGTTTGCAGATGATACCAAGCTAAGAGGGGTTGCAAGTGCTTTGGAGGATAGGGTCATAATTCAAAATGATCTGGACAAACTAGAGGAATTGTCTGAGGTAATAGGATGAAGTTTAATAAGGACAAATGCAAAGTACATCACTTAGCAAGGAACAATCTGTTTCACACATACAAAATGGGAAGTGACTGGTTAGGAAGGAGTACTGCAAAAAGGGAGCTAGGGGTCATAGTAGACCACAAGTTAAATATAAGTCAACAGTGTGGCACTGTTTCAAAAAAAGCAAACGTGATTCTGGGATGCATTAACAGGAGTGTTGTAGAAAGACACAAGAAGTCATTCTTCTGCGCTACTCTGCACTGATTAGGCCTCAGTTGGAGTATTGTGTTCAGTTCTGGGCACCACATTTCAAGAAAGATGTGGAGAAATTGGAGAAGGTCCAGAGAAGAGCAACAAAAAATGATTAAACATGAGATATGAGGGAATATTGAAAGAATTGGGCTTATTTAGTTTAGAAAAGAGAAGACTGAGAGGGGACATGATAGCAGTTTTCAAATATCTAAAAAGATGTTACAAGGAAGAGGGAGAAAAATTGTTCTCTCTGGCCTCTGGTGATAGGACAAGAAGTAATGGGCTTAAATTTCAGCAAGGGAGGTTTAGGCTGGACATCAGGAGAAACTTCCTAACTGTCAGGGTGTTTAAACACTGAAATAAATTGCCTAGGGATGTTGACTGGAGATATTTAAGAGACGGTAGGATAGACATCTATCAGGGATGATCTAGACAGTACACAGTCCTGCCGTGAGGGCAGGGGACTGGACTCAATGATCTCTAGAGGTCCCTTTCAGTTTTAGTATTCTATGATTGTAGGATTCTATAAGACTTTAAACTCTTTTATTAGTGATGTGTGTGTAATTAATGCTCAGTATTAAAAGCAACATGGACGTGGACTTGTATTCTCCAGAAGCAGTTCTTGTATTAACAATTCAGAGAGTAAATCTGTGCCACTGGTACAATTAATTATAGAGGGTCAGTGCTAAAACAGATAACATTGCCCCAACCTTTAATTTTGTCACTAGATTTTCACAATTTTAAAGCGGGCTACACTTTTAATCTAACCGAGCTTTAGTAAATAAAGGACTATTATTGTTTACATAATTTATATTTTGCAATAACTTTGTTTGCAAAATGTATTGTATTAGTGGAGCTAGTAATCTGAGGAATGGTCATTTTCAATATGCCTGCTCTCACAAGTTATTTTATTTACTTCAATAGGATTACTTGTGTCAGAGTTGCAAAGACAGTTAAAAAACAATATGGAAGGATTTTGAGTAAATTGCAGGATGTACTGATTTAAATCAAGGTAATTTAAAATCAGTGATTTAAATCACAAATGGGAAAGCTTCAGTTTAAATCACTGATTTTAATCAGTCTTTCATTTTGCACAACAGTTGTTTTCTAAAGAAAAGTGCATTTCACATTGGTTGATAACTATTAAAATACATTGATTTATAACTACAAAGAGCCTTTACATCTGGTTTGGTACATCTTTTCTGCCTACATGAGTACACTGTAACTGTATATGTTTATTTAAGCAATTATATAAAGCTTAAGATTTTCAGCTTCTTCTTGAAAATTTTTAATATGTTAGAAAATGCTTAATATGCTTATTTATGAGATAAGAAACTTTTTGCCCATGATTTGTGGACAAGGAAGGTTTGGTAAACACCCCTCATGCTTTGTCACAAGCTCGGTACCTCTTCCAACCTTGGTATCTATAGATCCATGTGATATTTATTGTATAAATATATAAAAATATGCTGTTGTTATATTCTTTTGAAGTCCTTAAAGTCACCTTTTTACCATCCAGTGTCCAACCTAATACTAAAATGAAAGGACTAAATTCAAAGTGGATTAGTTTGTAACAAGAGCTACATGCTAACAACACTTAGTAGTAAATCAGATTTCATTAACATTGTATTTCACTTCTTTAACAAGAAGGGAAAACAAAAACAAACATTCCTGTTAAAACACTGCTTTTGTATTTGATGCTACAGTACAGGCAGTCCCCGAGTTACGCGGATCCGACATACGTCGGATCCGCAGTTACGAACGGGGCACTTCCTCTCCCTGGTCTCGAGCAGACCAGGGAGAGGAAGCAAAGCGGCGGCGGAACGCGCGGCCAGCTGACAGCCCAGACGCGTCTGGGCTGTCAGCTGGCCGCGCGTTCCGCCGCCGCTTTGCTTCCTCTCCCTGGTCTGCTCGAGACCAGGGAGAGGAAGTGCCCCGTTCGTAACTGCGGATCCGACGTATGTCGGATCCGCGTAACTCGGGGACTGCCTGTACTGTAGCATCAAATACAAAAGCAGTGTTTTAACAGGAATGTTTGTTTTTGTTTTCCCTTCTTGTTAAAGAAGTGAAATACAATGTTAATGAAATCTGATTTACTACTAAGTGTTGTTAGCATGTAGCTCTTGTTACAAACTAATCCACTTTGAATTTAGTCCTTTCATTTTAGTATTAGGTTGGACACTGGATGGTAAAAAGGTGACTTTAAGGACTTCAAAAGAATATAACAACAGCATATTTTTATATATTTATACAATAAATATCACATGGATCTATAGATACCAAGGTTGGAAGAGGTACCGAGCTTGTGACAAAGCATGAGGGGTGTTTACCAAACCTTCCTTGTCCACAAATCATGGGCAAAAAGTTTCTTATCTCATAAATAAGCATATTAAGCATTTTCTAACATATTAAAAATTTTCAAGAAGAAGCTGAAAATCTTAAGCTTTATATAATTGCTTAAATAAACATATACAGTTACAGTGTACTCATGTAGGCAGAAAAGATGTACCAAACCAGATGTAAAGGCTCTTTGTAGTTATAAATCAATGTATTTTAATAGTTATCAACCAATGTGAAATGCACTTTTCTTTAGAAAACAACTGTTGTGCAAAATGAAAGACTGATTAAAATCAGTGATTTAAACTGAAGCTTTCCCATTTGTGATTTAAATCACTGATTTTAAATTACCTTGATTTAAATCAGTACATCCTGCAATTTACTCAAAATCCTTCCATATTGTTTTTTAACTGTCTTTGCAACTCTGACACAAGTAATCCTATTGAAGTAAATAAAATAACTTGTGAGAGCAGGCATATTGAAAATGACCATTCCTCAGATTACTAGCTCCACTAATACAATACATTTTGCAAACAAAGTTATTGCGTTGAAACTGATCAGTTTCAGCAGCGGCTGAATCTGGACGCCAGTTCCGACTTACATACAGATTCAACTTAAGAACAAACCTACAGTCCCTATCTTGTACGTAACCCGGGGACTGCCTGTAATTAAATCTGTTCAACACACAAAAAAACAGAGTTGTAATGCTTGCTGATGTTGGTGCAATGCTCCAGAGAGAAACAATCATGCATTTTTTCTTAACTTCATTTTGAGATATTACCTGACACTAAATTACTCCAAATCTCAGGTGGACCACAGTGTTCTCTCTAAAATGCCAGCTGTTGGGCAGTACTGCCTCACAGGGGATTAATCAGCCCCACCTAATCAGAGGCTCAGGGCTCTGTGCACAGAGCTGACTGACTAGGCGGGGCTGATTAATCACCTGGGAAGCTGTACTGCTGCACAGTTTGGGAACACTGGGACCAATGTGGTTAATTTAGTATACCAGGTTTCACTGAATGTACAATACTTTTATCTGACTAGCTAGCAGTGTTCTCTAAAAAAAACAACCAGTAGGCCTGTGACATCTTAGAAACTAGCAAAATATATATAGTATCATGAGTTTTTTGGGGCCAAACCCACTTCTTCAGATGAGCTTGAGTGGAGAAAAAAATATATAACTACAGTATAGCTCTCAATAGCAAATCTAAACTATCCTGACTTTGCTCTTCATTCTGAGCGAAATTACTATTTATACAAAATAGGATTTTTTCATCATAAAGGAAGATTAGTTCCACAATCAAAACAGATACTAATTTAAACCTCTCAAACTTGGGATACCACAGAACATATTCTGAAGCGATAATTCTGGATATTCACCTTCAAACTAAAATATACTTAAAAATACCTTCAAGCAAAGATGCCCCACCAAAGGAAAAGATTGTGAAGTAGAACGCGCTATAAATACCCTGCGAGAACCTGCTTCAATATAAATACCTACTGATTGCACAGCCCTGTCACCTCTCCTATACTGGAAACCATACAGAGTATCAACAAACAATTGCAATCCCTATTTAATTGAGACCACAACTCAAAATAAATCTTTCCTGAACCTACTCTTCTAGCCTTCAAAGAACCCTCCAATCCCATCAGCAGAAAAAGCTTTTCAGAGAGCAGGATACGCTAAACTCAAAGATGCACCAGATGCTGCCATAACAGATTTAAAAGCTTTCAGACATATCTTCACTGCTACAACAATGAATACCCTTCACAATACACCTTTCGAGATCCAAGAGTCCTAGTATCACAACATGTGCACATCTCACTAAATACCCCAACAACAACTATGCGAGTGAACGTGGACAATCTCTACGCTGTAAAAGGAACTAGGTAAATCTTACTACATTTAGAAGGCAGATCCACAGTGGGGTAGGTCCAGGACCCAGTGCAAGCTACCAGGTCCAGGACCTACCCTGCTGCAGCTCTGGCTTGTTTAAATGTAGCAGGAGCCGAGCTGCCTGCATGCCCTCCTACTACAATTAAACTGCAGAGCCACAGCAGGGCTCCTTCTCGACTAATTGTGTACTCGATATAAATTGTATCAAGTACACAATTAATTAATTACACACTTCTTAACACCATTAAAATGAACTCTAAGAAAATCAATACAAGACAAAAATACTCTATAATCCATTGTCAAACAGCTCAGTGATTCTAAAAGCTTGTCTCTTCAAGCAACAGAGCTACGTCTACACTGGCATGATTTTCCGGAAATGCTTTTAACGAAAAAGTTTTCCGTTAAAAGCATTTTCAGAAAAGCGCATCTAGATTGGCACGGATGCTTTTCCGCAATCTAGACGCGCTTTTGCGCAAAAAAGCTCCGATCGCCATTTTAGCCATCGGGGCTTTTTTGCGCAAAACAGTACTGTGCTATCTACACTGGCCCTCTTGCGCAAATGATTTGCGCAAGAGGACTTTTGCCCGAACGGGAGCAGCACAGTATTTCCACAAGAACACTGACGATCTTACATGAGATCGTCAGTGTTCTTGCGGAAATTCAAGCGGCCAGTGTAGACAGCTGGCAAGTTTTTCCGCAAAAGCAGATGATTTTGCGGAAAAACTTGCCAGTCTAGACACAGCCCTTGAATTGATCAAATAAATATTACCTCACCCATCTTGTCTCTCTCATATCTAAGAATCAAAAGGACTACAACAACACTGCAATCAGAAGCCAATGGCAACTGAAGAGACTCTGCACCTAGCACAATACAACGTTAAAGCACTGTTTAGGACCCCGCAGAGAGTAAATTAATTAAGAAGCTCAATTCCCTAAACAGTTATTATTTTTGAAAAGGTGTGTAGTAAGTGCACTGAGTTTTGTAAAAAATGGAGTTAAATCTAAAAGCACAAATACTGTCATGAAGGTCTTAAAATCTAAGAGCAAAAGAAGGAACAAAACAACATGATATAAACATTAAACTCAACACAGAAGTTTTACACGGGCTAAGAATTTGTGGAACAGCTTGGCTGTGTCTACATTGGCGCGATCTTTCGCAAATATTCTTTAATGCAAAAGTTCTTGTGTTAAAGTATTTGCACAAGAGAGCGTCTACACTGGCATGTGCCTTTGCTCGAGATATGCTTTTGCGCAAGAGCATCCGTGCCAGTGTAGATGCTCTCTTGTGCAAGAAAGCTCCGATGGTCATTTTAGACATCAGGCTTTCTCGTGCAAGAAATTCATGTTGCTGTCTACATTGGCCTCTTGCGCAAGAACAATTGCGCAAGAGGGCTTATTGCTGAGCGGGAGCATCATAGTTCTTGCCCGAGAAGCACTGATTTCATACATTAGAACGTCAGTGTTCTTGAGCAAGAACTCCCCGCCAGTGTAGACAGGCAGCATGTTTTTGCGCAAAAGCGTCCGCTTTGGCACAAGATCGCGCCAATGTAGACACAGCCCTAGATTTCTGAAGATTTTGTGAAGAAGTTGTGGTGCATGGAAACAGTAACTGACAGGCAAATGGGGGAGTGAATAAAGGAGTGGCAAAGCATTGATGACACTGATGCATACCTGGGGAAACAATGTAAATACCAAAGTACTAACTCTTGAAGCAACACACAAAATCATCAAATTTTGTAATTACAACAATGGCCATTTTACCAATGGATATAAAAATGTAAGGCTTCAACAGCTGTAAGGAAGTATTCCTATTTTGATGGAGTAGGCTCAGAGAGATTAAAGCCCTAATCATACAAACATGTACATAAGTAACTTCAAGTAAGTGGTCCTTTGGCACCTTAGAGAGTAACATATGATTGTGAGCTGTTGTGGGTAAGACCCACTTCATCAGATGAGTTGGAATGGAAATAACAGAATCCAAGATATTAACAGCAAAAAAATTACCTGACAATTGTAGGACCTGTGTTAGTGAAGCTAATTAAGAAGGCTGGATGTGTCCAGCTTTTGATGTGAAAATGCAGATGTCAAAGGCAGGGGAAATGGTTTCCTGATTTCTCTCATGATTTAGATTATCCAAAAACCAGATTCTCAAGACTTTCTCAAAAAATGTAATTGAGAAATGTAAGCACTAACATGCCTACAGAATACTCATTTTGTCCCATTTTAAGATTCAAACATACTATATCTTCTCATGACTCTCTTGGAATTTTTCAGGTTGTGTGTTAAGATTAAAGAGAAAACTCATTTGCAGATCTGAAAGAGAATATATTCTCAGAACCATGACTTTCTAGGTTACATACTTAAAGCTGTCAATACTAGTTTTCCAAAGTACTGAATTGTTACATTCCATAACACTTCTGAAAATCTTTTATTTTGGGCGTTTAATTAATTTATACTTAAATTAGAGGGCTGTATGGACAGGCACTCATCACCATTTCCTCTTCCTCCTTTCAGGAGCTACCAAATGCAAACAAACAACCCTAACAAAAGAAATGCTGGAAACATAATTAGTATATTAGCACTGTAAAACTAATTATTCCTACAACAAAACACTTTGTTTAAAAAGCTGATCCATTGTTTTGCAGATACAAACCTGATAGACATGGGAGGATTTGCTTTTACTGGCAAATGTCAATGAATCTCAGTTTCACCATAGACACACAAACTGATGACAAAATATTTCCAATAATTATGGATCAGCAAAACAAAATACCTCGAGAACTTATTCGAGTTTAAGGATATTTACTTTATATATTTTGATGTGACATTATAACCATTAAAACACAAATTGGCAAAGTTTTTATTTTAGGCATCTCAGTAAGTCCTGTCATTTAGATAATTATTGCATGGGCCAAGGATGTAAATATCTATTTAAAAAATTAACCAGTTAAACAATGTTTAACCAGTTAACCATGGAGGGCTGAGATCCCAGAGACAAAGGCCCTACTCCGCCTGTCCAACTCCCCCGAGGCCGGGGGTGGGGCCTGGCTCAGGTTGGCCCGGCTTCTCTCCGGTTGCCAGGAAGGCTAATGCTTACCGAGTAACCAGTTAGCCTTTTACATTCCTGCGTGGAACCCGCCACCTTCCCAAGAAGCGGGGAGCTGGAGCAGTTTGCTGGGGGGACATGCCGAGAGGCATTTCCCCGCTTCAAGGCAATGGGTGCAGGAGCCTCCCCAGCGCCCCTAGCTGCAGCACTTACAATTCCCTGCAGCTGTGCGCGTTATGAACACACAGACCCGAATTCCGCCCGGGCTACACGCAGCAGCGCTAGTCACAGCCCAGCCCGCCGCGGAGCTGCCCCCTAGCGCAGGAGGAAGCACCTGACAGGCGCCTGCCCAGCCCCTACGGCCCGCGCCAGCACCTAGAGACACCAAGCGCAACCCGCGCCCTTCCGCCCGAGCGCGCTAGCGCTCGGGACTCGCGCCTCCGGACATGGGCGGGGTAGGGGCTGAGCTGAGAAGGGGCGTGGCTAATGCAGATCGAACACTAGTGGGCGCTGAGCCCCACCCTGTAACCGTGACGACGAGGTTACGCTTCTTGGAGAAATCAGACTCCCGCGAGGCGAGGAACGGTCCTGGCCCCGTTTGCTGTGGGGTTTTTTCCCTGTGCTTTTCCCCTTGCTCTCGCCGCAGGGAACTCTGGGAGTTGTAGTTCCTTCGCCTTTCAAGCACAGGCCTGGCTTCCCAGCAGCTTGCCGGAGCGGGGGGAAAAGGGAGGGCGTACACTTCCGCTC